TTATCGGGTTTTATTGTGCGTATCACACAGGGCAGGGCCTTTCCTCTGCCTATGCTTGGCATTTTCCGCAGATATATGTATGTTAATATGGTAATCCCCGCCGCACCAGAGATGGGGAGCACTCCATCAACTTTTAAAGCCACGCACTTAAAGAGGCTTCCAATCAAATTATGAACTGTGTTTCGTGAAGGAGCAGAGGAGAGAGGAGCCAATGCATCTTGGATTCGATAACGAAGCAGATCCATTTTACAACGTTTACGTTCCGTTCCGCTTGTCCTGCAGGCCACCAACCAAGAAGCCAACACGCAAATTTTATGTCCAACATAAAAAGGTTTTCATGTGCAATAACCAGAAAACCAGAGACGGGACGGGACGAAACAGAACGGGACTCCTGCTCCCCAGAGGGAGCTCACAGAGGGAGCTTTGTCATGTGGATAGAGCACAGCACACATGGAAGCTGTCCTATCAGCAGCGGCAGCAAGCCAATCAAAATGCAATTTCCACTCATGCACACAGGACATCATTTAACGACACACATGTGCATAGGGAGGAGCCACCAGGTTCCTAGGTATTCAAATAATATATATGCAAACAAGTTGATTTAGCCAGCACCCAGCTCTCCTCAGCTGTGACTATGAATTTGTCATCAGCGTCGCCGGAGAACACAGAGATGAAAATATTTATACAAATAATAGCTATGCAAAGACACGCGGCACACGTTTACGCAATGTTGACTCAGAAAAAGGGGCGAGAAGGGAAGCTGGGGTGAGGGAAAAGCGACTTCATCAAAACAGAATCAGCTGCGATGACAATCTCGCCCCCGAAAAGGCTGCCACAATCGCCTCAAGGAGTAACAACCTCGTCCCCACTCTGCTCCTGCTCCGTTTCCCTTTTTTGTAGCAAATTAAATTCCTTAAGACTGAAAATGCAGGAAGAAGTGTGAGACAGAGAGAAGGTACTCCCAGCTCTCGGTCTCCTTTCTACACAAAGTTTTAATAGCGCGCTTACACGTGTGTAAAATGTTGTTCCTTCGGAAAGGCCTCTTGCACATCCCCCGAGTGATTCCGGTTAAAGTGTTGCCGTATTCACAGCTAATTATCCTGACGTCAGAACGGCCCAGAGTGCCCAGCCGGGAGTTGGCAAACATTTCCGCTCTCCAAGGAGCTGGAATGTGTTCCGGCATTGGCAATTGGATTGGAAGCACTCGGACATTAGCATAATAAATTGGGGCCAGCCTGTTGTTTGCTTTATCGGAGGAATCGAGTGAATAACTTCATCGCTTAGGCGCATTAATAAAGCGGCTTTAATAACGATTCTGATCCAACAGCTAGGATTTTGATGTGGATGGGGATGGGGATGCGGAAGGAGTGTGCATGTGTACCCAGAACTGATACTGGCGCTGACTACGTGACCAGATAACTAAGGCTTATCGATGATGGAAGGACTAGGCATTTTGTTGGCCTTTCCAGAATAGTTCCCCCAATACCAACCCCAACCTCCTTCTCATATCCTTTAGGTAATTGTGTGGCCATAAATCTCGTGTCCGTGTGTCCTTCGGCCCCCAAGACGGCACGGAACACAATTTAACGCCTGTCCGGGTACGGGTGCGGGTGCGGCAGTGGCCATCACATTAAAGAGACATCGAACGGGACGGGACAGGAATACAGAAGTACAGCAGGACGTGTGCAGGTGTGTATTGGGTGAAAAATCGATTCAAGGCAATTAAGGTCAGACGCGGAGGAGGAACTACCTCAACTTTTTCAATTAGGTGGCCACCAGGTGACCACAGTTATCGCTCGCAAGAAATCAGAGAATCAAAATTGTGTCCACGCAATGGGAAAAAAAACATCAAGCCGCAAAGAGGGGAAACTTTCGATGAACCCTTCGGTGGAACCTGGGACGAAAACCCCATCAATAATCCCCGATTAGAACATGTGCATATGAAATATTTATGCTGCGGTCTGCAAATGGAATTCTTTGGGAAAAGGTCGCATGCATAATGGAATCAGAAATGAGGAATGGACGAAGGACGAAGGGAAGGATATGGAACTCTTTAATTTCAGGATTTTCAGTTAATTTTATTGCAGGTCCGTCAGGCAATCATAAAGGAGGACATTTTATTGCCTGAAAGTTGACTCCCTCTCCCTCTCTCTTTTTCTCGTTTGGTGCCCTTGTTTCAGGCTTAATTTATTGTTTTAATTTTTAGTCTCCCAGCCACAAAATGGCGTCCTAAGCCTGCTGTCGATGTCGGCTCGGGGGATGGTGCGGTGGTATGTTGGGTGGGGTATGGGAAATCTTTTTGGGGAAAGTGTTAAGAACTCGTGTAAATTCCATTAGGGCTAAAAAGTTTGCGTTGCGCGGGGAAAGGACTGCCGAAGAAAGAGCCTGTCAAGTACGATAAATCAAGGACAGCACCAGGATACAAAGGACATCCAGCCAGGGCAAGGGGCGGGAGACATTTGGTAATTAAAAGCAAAGCGTCCCAGTCATGGATGAAATTATGCAAGACGAGCCATAAAAATGCAAATTTCCCTGGAAAAACATCTACCAATAAATGTTAATTGGATTTCCCTGGTCTTTTTTTTTGGGATTTGTGTTAGCAAAATCTTGGGAAAATAGATACGGCCAAGAAATTGGGAATCTATAAATATGCATCGACAATTACGCATTGGACTGGCACATCGCACTGCACGGCTCCCACAAGAAAGGCGACCTTGAGGCAGCTGCCAAACTGAGGCTGATCATCACTCTCTCCCTCCCTCTCTCTCTCTCTCTCACCCGCTCACTTCGATGAGATGAATTAACACCGTTATCGCAACTGGTACGCCTGCCCGTGCAGAACAGTTATCAGCGAACCGTAAATCGTACAAAGTCCAACATCACTTCACCGTTAGAATAAAGAATATTGAGAGAGAGCGCCAAAACAAAAGTAAACAAAATTCAAAGAGAATATTTCTAGTTGGCAATGTGACAAGCACCTCACTCTCTCCTCTCCTACTCTCCTACTCTCCCACTCTCCCACTCTCCCACTCTCCCACTCTCTTTTCTTGTGTGCTTGTGTAATGTTGCTTTTACTCAATTAAGCAGAAAGCAATTACAAAAGCAACACGCGCTTGTTCCAATAAATTTGTTGTCATTTAAATGCACACAAAGTGGAAAGAGAAGAGAAAGATAATGGGCACAGCTAGTAGTCGACTAGCAGTTACCCAAAAGCATAGAAGTGGGAAGCAGAAGATCAAATTGAATTCTCGCGTCTCACTTTCTTCCAAGTCAATCTGTGCAAGGCAGCGAAGAAGAGCAGAAACGAAATCGAAGCAAGTAGTCGACTGACAGTTACCCAAATGCGAGCGCAAGCTCTCTCTCGCACGTGCAGGCTGCAGGGTAACCGAAAAAAAACACACAGTATAAACACAGCTGCTCGGCATACAAAGTGTCGACCTGGGACTACCTTAAATCAAAGAAGCGTGCATTGAGATAGGAGCGTAAGCAGTTCTCACTAGAACTGTGGGAGGTAACAGTGAGGAGAGCAAAAGGAACACAAAGCTGCGCGCTCTCAGCACTCTCTTCTTCTGTTTGCGGTTGTTCCTGCAAGCAGTGCGTAGTCAACGATTACACAATCGATTTCCGAGACGTCGTTCTATTAACAATTGAATCATTGAATTTGCTTGATTGACGCAGTTAAAAGAACAATATATTCAGCAAGAGGAGGAGAGGAAGAGATAATCACATGCTGTATCTGAATTAAAAGCAAACTGTCAGCATTCATTTACACCGCTCGACTGCATCCATTCGTCGGCATGGGGGGGTTTCTGTTGGGGGACTGCTTGCTAATCGGGGGGCGTGTCACTACCGAAAAGACATTTGCCGAAGTGAAAGTGATGATGATGTGAAAAAATATAAAAAGCTTATCCAAAAACCGGGGCACGAGGCACTAACGACAGTGTAGGGGTGCAATTAAAAACGAATTTTCATTCTCATTTATGGTATAACAATCCAAAACCCCAAAAAAATAACAATAAGCTCGTACAGCCCCCCTTTATGTGCCCCCCGCTTCTGGGCACCCAAGTGTGAAGCGACTAAAAGAGGAAACAAATGAAACAATGCACAAATATTTGCTCATACACGCTTAAATTAAGTAAATACAAATTTATTTGAGGTACTTACCCGTCCACCTGAAAGAAAAAGGGGCAATGTTGTTCTAGGGAGTTGCTGCTGCGGTGCGGGAGGAGGAGGAGGAGGCAAACCTGGCACGACATCCAGAAATTCATGGATGGGGGAGGGGGGCGGACAAAAGGTGCTTCTGAGTGTCTGCTGAGGTCATTAGAGAGCTGCTTCAGCTGCTGCTGTTTTGCCAGAGTTTCCATTGTTAATTTGTTATTCATTGTTGACCCGCACGTGGACACACGCAACGCCCATAAAAACAGAATTCAAATAAAATTCGGAATTGAAATAAAACTCTAAAAGGAAAGTGCACGAGGCGGAATTGTGCTTGAAATATGAATATGCAAAGTAATGGAAACTCTCCCTGGATTGGGGATGGATTCTAATCGAATGGAAAATGTGGGACACATCTGCGGCTGCGGCTGTCAATGCGACATACAATGCTGGCACAATAATTGACGGATTAGAAAAGCAAATCAATTCCGCAGACTGCCTGCAGACGAGAGCGATTCTCCGCCTCACTGAGCGCTTTATGCAAATTTCCAGCACACGCACACGGATTCCCTCCCGCAGCAGCTTTCCCTTTGCTTACAGGAGGAAATTAAATTCGGTCGATTAATAATGAAAATGTAGAGGAGAGTCGACTTCCTCTCCTCCGTTTGCAGCTTAATTAAAAGATAAAAATTCCCCCCAAATGTAATGAGCAAATATCAGGCATTGTTCCTCCAACCCCATTCCCCATTCCCCAGTGGCTCAATTCGGACTCAATTTTGGACCCAATGGGGGGATTTTACGGTTAGTAGAGTATTACAGTGGAGTATCTTTGAATGACGACTCACCTTATGACGTAGTTCACGCAGACGACGCTCTGGGGCTTCTGCTTGTCATAGACGATTGTGGCCTGACTGACGATCCAGCAGTAGCCTCCGCATTTTCCCAAGAAGCGGTACCGACAGGTCTCTCCCTGTCCCTTGCTCAGCACTGCAAAGATAGACACAGAGAGAGAGAGAGAGGGAGAATAACAACAATTAAAGTATTATTATAAACAAATGTCAAGCGCAAGTTCTAGATCTACTTTGGGGTTCCGCTCTTGGCAGACAAATCAAATTACAACCACAGCGAAACACACACAGAAATAATAAACAGAATCTTCTGCGGTCTACCGCTCGCTCCCTCATTAAAATGTGTCATAATCGTCGGTTGGCTCTTGAACCAGATATAGCCTGAAATATCTACAGTTTGGAGAGCATTTTAGATCTCTCCCCCCTCCCCCCTAGGAAGTAGTCACCCATTCCTGCTGAATGGGTGTGTGGGCGTTTGGTTGGCAAATTGTCAAGTCTCAAATTACGGCGCCAAAAGCGCTCGAGCATAAAAATTAAATAATAGCAACTTGCGCTGGCAGGAAAGGGACCAATGGGAAGGAGGGATTTAGGCATTTGATTGAGCCTTTGAATATGTCCGTATGTGTGTGTGTGTGTGTGTGTGAGAGTGTGGCATGGGCCGCGGGGCAAGACATCAACAAGGAAAACGTTGCCAAGTAATTTGCCTCAACGAGGACGCCACATAAACTCGATTTTAATTAAAAGAAACCTCCCCAGCATACCAGAAATAAAATCCCAGCTGAAGTGCATGGAGTCGCCCCACACGTGCCTCGACACTAGGATATCCTATGCTCAGTTCATATAGATCCCTAAAGGATGGATGGAAAAGTGCGTTGCTCTGGAATTAATTGTGTTCGAAGGTCAGGGGTCAGGTGCGCTGCACCTTGTTTGGTTCATTATCATAAAGATATGATTTCAAGTTTTCGGTTTTATCGTGGATGTTACATACATACCGGAATTTAATATAACCCCATAATCTACCCTGTAATGAGTACCGGGTATAAAAACACAAATAAAATAAATATAAAGACGCACACACACACAGGGAGAAAGGAAGCCTAGGTAGAGGTCTGTAGCTCTGTATCTGCGACAAAAACCGCTTCTTGCCGGAAATCATTTCAATCAAATTTTATGGCAGCCACAGGCAGCGACAAGAACATAAAGAAAAGAAACGATGAAAATTCATAGGAATTTGGAAAAGCAATTGAAATTCATGGATACCTCCGGGCTTCAGGGCCCTGCAATGTGCGGGATTAGCATAATTGCAGAGTCGCAGGTGCACGAGGGCAGATGTACCGCTGACCCTCAAAGAGTGAGAAGGGGAACGGAAATTCATAAATACTTTTGCATAAATCTCAAGGAATTAATTGAATTAGAGGCCCACATTGGTGGCGACGACCTTCGTAACAACTAAACTAGACCACAATTTGGGATACACTGCAGTGCGGTTCGTAAGTGTAAGACCAGGGCGAGTTATCCCCACGGGAAGCAAATATTCGCTTTTGCTTGTGAAACCCAGTGTAGCCGCAGAGCTTTCGTCTCACTCCGATTCATTCATTCATTGAGTTAATTCGAAATCAGAAGCAGAAAATTAGTTTTTTCCTCCAACCTCCTCTGGTCTCTTGCCTCTTGCCTCTGGCCATTCGAGGAGTGGCTTAGTGGTCATGTATTCATCTCCGAAAGAAAAGGAAAACTCTAGTTAAGGATGGGCAGGAGCTGCCTTAAGAGATGGGATAATTATGCGGGGTCATTAATAAGACAACATCTAAAGAGGCCGCGGAGGCGGAAGCTGAGTCCGAGATGCGTGTGGTGACAGCTCCCCGAGATTGATGCCAGACATATGTGCAAGCGCAGGAGGAAGAGGAGCTGGAAGAGATGTCCCTTGAAAGCACGCTACACAAAAGTAACGCCGTGCCTTCCCTCGCCCCCTTGCAGTGCTCAGACGATTGCCATTTGGCAGTGTTTATGTGGAATTAGCAAAGTGAGCAGCAGACAGAATCAGAAGCAGAGTACGGAAGGAAGAGCACAAGGAGAGGCAGAAGGAGTTGCAGGACCCAGACCAACAGCAGCTGCAGCAGTGAACTTGATTTGCCCTCAGCCAAGGACTTTTCCTGGCTGTAGTGCAGTCGCTGAGACGGGAAATATTAAAATATCTACGCGCGGCAGCAAAGATCATTTATCAGCAATTTTTTAGCAGCATTCCTGGGCTGCTTTGCACTGGCACTGCCACTGCCACTGCCCCTGCGCTCCATTGCTGCATCCACAATTTATGAACACGAATGCAATCCGCTTTTCGCATGGCAATGGCCATGGCAGTGGCAGTGGCAATGGCAATGGCATTCCCAGGACCTTGCCACAGAACCAAGGATGCCCAAGAAGGAAGGCGGCCATTTGTACAAATAATCAAACAGAGAGAAGGAGACAGAGAGAGCGAGAGACGCGACTCGACTCGACTCGAGTCGACTCCGAATGAAAGACAAACATCAAAACCGCATTCAAGGTTATGTATCAAGCGGGATGAGCACGGAATGCTGCTGCTGCTGCTGCAGAGGATGCCCAGGATGCAGGGGATTCACGGGATGCACACACACAATGCATGCTCAGACACGCTCGAGTACACGAGTAAATCCTCGAGGCAACATAACAGTAAATCATCATCAACACAGGGGGCACGATGTAGCCGCAGGTGCAGCAGCCCCTCGCAGGAGCTCCTGCTTTGGCCCGGCTCCGGCAGCAGTCCATGCTAGCTGGTGCTCACTGTATCGCGCTCCATTCGTGTGCTCCTCGCTTTGATTGCGTAGCTCCTGCTGGCTGCTGACTGCTGACCAGAGTCCGGCGTGGCTAAGGATCCCCAGAATGTGGTGCGGGGGGGAGGGGCAAATCACATTGGCACAAGTGGATAAGGAAATAAATGTTTGGCTGTTTGGCTTTGGCTCCTGCCAAAGGATGTGCGCATAAATCAAGGATTTGTTTGCGGATTCTCTTGAACCATCCAATCCCCCCCGCCCCCTACCCCTACCAATCTGTGGGTTCTGCCTCCTCCGCAAAAGGTAGTTGACTTGACAGTCGCCTTAGACTTAAATTTAGAGAGACGCTGAAGCATTGACCTTTTGGCCTTTTGCTTAAGGGAAGGGCCCCGATGGCCGGTCCGGGCCGGGCCACGTGGCGTATGCGTAATCTGCTCTAATTGAATTAAGCCGTGACATAATCCCCCCTGATCCGAAGTCCGAAGTCCGCTTTCTTCAAGTCAATATGTGCTGGGATTTTTATGCAAATCGTTCTCCTTCTCTCCCCTGGCTGTGCGATGTCTCTCCGTCCCTCCGTCGCTACGTCTCTCGATTGCAGCTTAAGGCAAAGAACTCTACGAAGGAGGACGCCTTCATAGCACGCCAGTCGTGTGGAAAATTGCATTTCGGTACCTTTGTTGCGGGACAGGAGACACAGCCAGTGGCAGTGGCAGGGACCAGCGACTTGAAAGGGTTTCCCTTCCAGGCATAATGCAAAGTTACTGCCGGGGATCCCTGGGTCCATTATAACACGAAAGCGATGCTCACGAAAGTAATGCCCATAAATGGCTTTATGAATGTTACAGCAGGAGGCAGAAGGGTACAAAGCTCAGGCAGGACTCCCCACAGGACGACGCTTCCAGTTCCAGGAGTAGGCCAAGTTTTGCGGCTAAGGCCAGAATATTTCATGAGGCTCTCTGCTTCTCTGCGGGGGAATGGCAGGGAGGCAAGCAGCACCCGCACACATGTCCCTCCACCCTCCAAATGGACCAGAGGAAAGGACATTTCCCATTCGACCGTTGTAGACCGCCTGCAGCGAGGAAAAGTCGACAAGTTTGTCCTTCGATGGAACCCATTAAAAACTACTCAAAGTGTCAGCGGGCACCACAGAGCCGCAACCACAAGGGGCATGCCACAACGACACAAAGTGTTACAAATTTGTTAAATTTGCAGTCCCACACAGGGAAAATCACAACGAAAGTCTTCCATTTCCACTTGCAAGTCCGTTCTAACGCAGTGCAGAAAACCAAAGAAAAAGCTAAGGAAAACCAAAAGGAAACGCAAAAAGAAAAGCAAAGCGGAAACAGGCAGCAGGCAGCAACTGGAAGAGCGGAAAAAGAGAAAAAGAAAAAAAGTTAATTGAAAACAAAAGTCAGAAGGAGAATTTGCATATGCCTGCCCCCTCTGCTGCGACGTGCCGCAAGTCAATATTTATTTATGCGTACGGCACAAATTTAAATGATTTAAGAACCGCCCGAAGCAGAAGGAAAACTAAAGTGCAACTCCCTCTCCTGTTCCACTCCCACTCCCACCCCCACTCGCACTCTTTGTTTTGAATTAATTAGAATTTAACAAAAATAAATGTCGGGTAATTGAAAACTTGCGCCAAAATCTACAGCTCCTCCTGCCCCTCTGCTCCCTGGGCTGCTGCTCATTACGGCCCACCCAACTGCTTCTCCTTTTCTTTTGGTGTTTAAGTTTTCTCAGATTCCATTCCATTATGCTCATTAATTCCATTTCCCGAAAGCAAGGAGGGGACATCCAGATGGAGAGAGCGACTATGAGTATCTAAAGGTGTAAGTGAGTATCTCTCTGCCTCCTCTTCCTGCCCCCCGCCCATCTTTTAATTAACTCAATTTGAGCGTTAAGAAAGACATCATCAGGAGGCATCCAGATAGAAGACAGAGGTACTGGGAACTGGGATCCGTGGCACCTTCAGCTCGCAAAGTTATCAATCCTCAATCCTCAATCCTAGAACCCTTAAATTTTGCATCTTCTGGAGCGAGCAGCGGGAGATCCCAACTGCGATTGGGAACGTGTGGAAGGGTGCCAGTGCCCCCAGGCACTGTGGAAACAATTAAGTGTTGATGCTACCCCATTTTTTTTGCGCCGTGCGCCACAGCTGCAACTTTATTAAGCAAAATTTAATGGCGGTTGCTCCCTCCACACTCTATCTCTCACTATCCCTGGCCCTGCCCCTGCTCCTGCTCCTCTTTTGGGTCCTGTCGTTTTTCATTAGCGCCACCAACTGACTTGCAACAATTGTTGCACACACACCCACACGACACGAACAGCAACACCGAAACAAATAACA